ACATCTAGATAGATTCAAATAAACTAGGAAATAAGCTCTTCAAAGCCCGAAAAGATAAATGACCCATCCTATTATGCCAAAGCATAGCTTGATCAACAAACTGAGAAGCACAAGACCTCTTAGTCTTACTATCTTCCCAATGAGAACTCCCTCCAAGCAGATAGACTCTTTTTGCCTCACGGCCAGTCCCAATCACCTTTCTTGTCTCAAGATCCTGAAAAACACATCGATCCGAAAAAAATGTTACTGAACAATTCTGGTTTTTTGTAATGCTACTAACTGAAAGCAAGTTAGTACTAAGATTAGGAACATGCAAAACCGAAGATAAGGAAATAACATTAGACAACTTGATGTCTCCCTTGCCAAAAATAGGAACGATGGAGCCATCAACAATGGACACTTTGTCTTTGCCTGAAGATAAGTGATAGGTAGTAAATAGTGACGGCAAGCCAGTTATATGGTTAGATGCTCCATAATCTATTATCCATGAATGTTCTGTATTACCTGTAATTGAGGCATAGTGAGCTGAGGCCTGATTACTTGAATGAGCAAAAGCTGAGGTAGGGGGTCTGATGGTGTTTGAGGAGGTGAAGCTGAATTACCAACTTCATTTTCCAGCTGAACTAGAGCAGCTCGGACAACAACTAGAGTATCTAGAGGATTGCCTCTTGCGCTAGATGAGGTTGTACTATCAGTATTAACAGTCATATTTGCATTCCCCTTTTTGTTTCTGAGTTTTGTTGGAACTAGATGTGGATGTAACTTCCAACAGACCTCTTTAATATGCTTAGGTTTCTTGCAATGCTTACATAGTAGGTCCTTCTTAGTTTCCTTCTTCATGTCTCTTTCCTTATCACTCCCAAATTTGGGCTTAACTACTGTCAAAGCTGATTCAAAAGGTTGTTGTTGTAGCATAACTTTTCTCCTACTCTCTTCGTTGTGCACTAAGGAATAAGCCTGGGACAGAGTTACACTATCTCTTGTCAATAGTTGCTGCCTCACAATATCATATTCCGAATTTAAACCAGCTAAGAACTCAAACACTCTATTAGTTTCAATCTGCTTTCTGTAAATCTGTGCATCCTTCTGACTTTCCCATTCAATTGATTCAAGGTGATCAATTTCATGCCACAGGGATTTCAAGATTGAAAATTCAACAGAAACTTGTTTCTCACCTTGCTTGAGATTTTTAACATCACATTTCAGCTCATAAGCCCTAGCAACATTAAGGGGTTGAGAGTAGGTTTCTTTCACAACATCCCATATTTCTTTAGCTGTTTTTGCACATAAGTAATTCCAACTGATGTGTGGCTGCATGGAATTGCACAACCATGTCATCACTAAATAATTTTCCTGAATCCACTTAGCATAAGTGGGATCCTCCTTATTTGGTTCCTTCACATCTCCCAACAAATAGTTCAGTTTTTCTCTTCCTCCAATGGCCATTATGGTTGATTGGGCCCACTCTAAGTAGTTTGAACCATCAAACTTTACAGTTTACAGTTGTAATCTGGAATGTGTTTTCAGTCATGCCACCTGAACCAGTCCCAAAAACACCCTCCCCTTGGTGCTTGAACTCTACTCTTGGTTAGGGGTTAAGCAAAAAGCACCTTCTATTTACTGTAACAATTAGCCTACTGGGTCTGAAAAAACTAATGACAGTAGGTCTAGAAGTAGAAATCAGATTCAGAGAAAGAAAAAAAAAATTCCAATTCACTGTATCACTGTATCACTGTATCAATCAGCCTACTAAATTTGAGAACTAATAGCAGTTGCCTGGGTACATAACACCAAAAACAAAGATCAGATAACAGAAATCCGATAGCAGTCAAACTTAAAAACAAGTCTAATCTCTTATCCAAACACAGTAACAGTCCTGGATTTCAGGGTTTTCTCTTAAAACCCTAGAAGAGAAAAAGAAAAAAAAAAATTATATATAGCCATACCTCACAAATTAAGCTATCCTTGTTGCTACCCTCAAGAAGGAATAAGACCTTACCTAGGAATTTCTGAGAAAAAAAAACCTGATCTTGATTCAAAAAATTCTTGCTGAAATTCTAATCGCCAACTTCAGTTTGCTCAAAACTGATCTTGATTCTGATCAACCCGAGAAACTTCWRAAAYARAACWGATMTCGGAGAAAAATCTTCTTGATCGCCAACTTCAATCTTGATGAGAGAACCAAAAAATCTGATTGGCACCTCCAATCTTGACCAAAGACCTAACCTTGATCACTTAATTCTTCTCTGATTCTTCCTGATTACAATGAGCAATTTCCAATCATTGGACATTTGCTGAAGACTTCTTGTAATCTCCAAGAATCAGTCGAATGAAAAAACTCAGCCCTAAATAATTCTCATGTGGTCGGCTGAATTAATTCCACATGAGAAACCCTAGATCGAATGCTCTGATACCACGTAGTCGCTCAAGATTGAGCAGACACTTAAAAGGAGAAGAAAAAAATAAGAAAATAAGAGGGAGCAGAGAGAGAGAGAGAGAGAGAGAGATTTTGATAAAAGAGAGTTGGGTTGATGTGTTTAAACAGCCGCCCCCTCTTAAATTTATATACATAGTATCATACTTGTAAAATGACTGAATTGCTTACATGGCAAGATAAGATAAGATAAGATAAAGTTGAAAAAAGACTAATCCTAATCTTATAAAAGACTAGTCCTAATCTTATCATAAAGAAATAATCCTAATCATAACTTATTACTGACATTCGAACAGTGGGGACCACCTTAGTAGGGTCCACATTAGTGTTCTCTACAATTGGAAATGGACCTGTTCACAGGCTAGGCTTTAGGCCTGACTTTACATTGTGTTAGGCTCGGGCTTCAAGCCCGGCCATTGAAATTCTGGCATTGGAAAACAAAATATTCATAGGAGGAATGATAGAAGAGGTAGTGAAACAAACTAGAACGTGATGGAAAGGGAGAGAGAAAATGAGGGAGGGCCATGCTGAGGTGACAAGTTGAGAGAGTTGGGAAAGAAAAAAGGGAGACACTCTAGAAATGCAGGTTGGGGAAGAGATCACATTGGGCCCTATACAGCATGCCCCATGAGTTCCCCACAGCACATCCCAACTATGTATTGGGAACATCTCCCAATGACAAGTACAGGAATATGTTTCAATGCACATTGAGATGTGCACATGGAGCACCTATGGGACACAAAAGTGAGCTTGTTGGGGAAGGAGGGAAAAGAGAAGGCATCCGATATAGCTAGTTTTGTTTATACTAATAGATGACCTCCATGAATTCAAGGAAAATACCCACTTTATAAGGCTCAGTTTGGAAGGAATACAAATACAAATATGTAGAGTACAAAACCTTGTATTTTGTATTATTTTATATGTATTTGCACTCCTTCCAAAAATGAGCCCAAGGAATTAGTGAGAGGGTACAAGTTGTGTTATGTGCAAATAAAAGGTAAAAATATAAATTGAGATTATACAATCAAATTTAACTTTTATAACCTGCACCAAAACCAAGGCAAATATCCACTTTATAATAGTATGGATTATTGGCTCCTACTTGGTTTGAGGAATTGTGACAAATCAAATGCCTTTTTAGTTAAAATTTGGGGTCTAATATTAAGGTTTAAAGATTTAGAAATTTAGGGTTTAGGGCTTAACTTTCAATGTTTATAAATTTAGAGATCCAAGATTTAAGTTTTAAAATTTTGGATATTTATATAAAAATCAAGTGGTTAGACGAAAATGAACCAAATACCATCTACAAGGCAATTGCGTTATGTTTGGCTTTATTTGTTTTTGGTGCAATATCATCTGCATTGTGCCAAAGTATGGGATTCAATTCTGGTTTACTTTTACTTCAGGTTTTACCTTGTTTTATTTTTTCATTGCAGATGAAAGGCCCGTTTGGCACATCTTTTTGAGAAGATCTTTTTGAAGACGCATTGAGCTTTTGACATAAGATCTAGGCAGCCCAAAGACAATTTGGCACATGCATCTTTCCATGCAAGATTAAAACGCAAAAGATGCAGGAAGCTTTGAAGTTTCCCGAAATGGATTTCTTGCATTTTTTCAATGCACCTTCTTTTGGTGATTAAATCTTCCGCGAGCCAAACAGGAATTGACCAAAAATCGGTCTTCCTGGCTTGTAATCAAACCCAAAGAAAATGTGAATCAAAATTTACATTTTTGCATTTATACTCCCATAAATTTGCACTATTGCAAATAAAGGTGGTTAGTCTCGAGGTTTTGTAGTAATGCAAATGACATGCAAGATTTCATCTAACTCGAATCAAAGTTTATCCATTCAATGAATCCAGGTCCAATTTCGAAACTACATTTCATTAATAAATTAAACTAAAGATGATAATAATAACTAAATTTGACTTTGGTACAACAAACAACATGACGTAAACATCCATATTTAATTTCCTAATGTCCCTTCTTAGCATAATGGTATAGGTCCTATAGGATTAATCCACATGGAATCAATCAAATCCAATTTATCATTGCTCTTTTGAACAATTAAACCCAAAGGCAAAAAAAAAAAAAAAAAACAAAGGCGGAGCGATTTCCACGATGAAATCTTGCATGTCATTGCATCCAATTTGCACACTGTAATTTCTAATGAAACAATCAAGCCTGAAGTCTTAAACACCCTCGGCTTGAGTTCTTTTATCTGGCTGACTATCAACCTGAAATACGCTTCAATCAGTTGAATGCTTTAAGGACACTCGTATCCTAAAGATAAACTCTTATCTCTAGTCAAGAGTTGAGACTCCCTACGGATCACATCTGATGTGTGATCGTCTCAACGGTCGGTAACTTGGTATGTGGAAACACGCATACTTGTGTACAAGAAATAACTCAAAGTTCTCATCCAAAAACTGGAGAAAAAAAAAATCCAATTTATATTCCTTATACGCAACACATTTTGAACTAATAAAGCCTCAAGATGTAGATAGTCACTTCAACCCGCAGCTTCCACATCATGATAAATAAATATAAGATTTGACAAACTTGAAGCAGTTAATAAGCAAGTTTGATGATATTAATATTCCCACTTGGCACCTGCTAAACGCAAATTGAAGTCTCCAACGCATGTGAACAATCCCAACCTTGTCATAATGTCATGACTCATGACTCTCTCTTTAATGTAGTAATCAAAGTAATTCATTCATCCATGTACCATATGCCACATGCATCGTGCAAATCACTGGGACTGAAATTCCTACTAAACATGCCTAAATGTTTTCAATGATCAGAACAGATTTGAGATCATCCTAAAGCTAAATTAAGATTATTTTATTACTATCAGGGTTTTAGATCTTGGCTACTGTAAAATAAATATAACTTAAACCACATTACATTAAGCAGCAATCTTTGTATATTTATTAGCATTCTTGGAAAACGTTTCTGCAACCAGTAGAGGGAAAGCAATGGTTGCATCACAATGTACCTGGTAACACCATAAAACCAAAAAGAGAGAATGAAGAGAATTAGAACACTTTGGCAAGAAAAAAAAGAAAAAAAAGAAGAAAAATAAAATCTGCACTTCCTTGGAATTTTTCCATCTAGAGTATGCTTTCATAGGCTATAAACAGGAACAACTTCATAAATGCCAAAAGGCTCAGTAACTGTGGGCTGTGGCATTCAGCTATTTGAATAATTCGGTTTGGAATTTTGACACCACACAGGCATGCAAACAGGCACAAGAGAGAAGGAAAAGGAAAAGTTGTAATGAGATTTCTGTTGGTCAATGACTGTATTCTTCCTAGGCCAACCCTTTGCTGGTTTCTACTGGTTCCATAATATAAAGAGCACATACAAAAAAAGAGATGGGAATAAAGGAAGTTATACTTTGATAGTCTTGGCAGAACCTCGTATCTTTCCCCACGAGACAGCCTCATCAGGACGTGCTCCAGAATCACTCCCATCAAACTCTTGTGCTGTGTTGATGAAAACAGCATAATCTGCACCATTACGCATCATATTGGCATTGCAAATGTGATGCTTGGGCATGCCTCCGCCAAGAATTATCATGCCTGTCTTCCTAGGACTTGCATGAACGGCTTCCCCATTCATGGCCCTAATATCTGTTCACCAGTATCAGATTTATTCCCACACTACCAAACACTTGGATCAGGTTATGGAAAAACTGAAAAGACAACTTACCTTGCACGATATCAATAACTAAACCAGGTTTTCTGAAGGAATGGAAGTATAACATGTCACCTAGTGAGCCATCTGTTAAACCTGGGCAAAAGACTGGAATGTTGTTCTGGAAAACATCAAGGACGATTAATGCTATGATGCAAAACACAAAAAATGACATGACATGGGTCTTCTTATTTTTTGATTGGTAAGACATGGCATGGATCTTGTTAGCAGCTATTTTATCACAGAAAATATGGCTAACTATGCTGGCTTATTGAAGGCTTTAAAGGGCTCCCATATTGGTACATCATTTTTGTCACAAGTTGGCTGCATTCAAACAATGCAAGGTCAAGAACCACAAACATGAATTGTTCAAGTTGTTCAATAGAAGATACCTTTGTGGTCACATTTCTACAATTTCCAAACAAAGAGCCACTGGCTGTGACAAGCACAACACCCTATTGTCTGTCATCCAGTGGTTTCACTATTAATATTTTCATGTTTAACAGTATGGTTTGTCTGTCCCAGTCAAAAAAATGATGGCACCATCCAGACATTTTTTAGTGGTAACTATAAACTTTGATCAAATTAAGTAAAGAATGAGCTAATCACAAACAAGCCAAGCATCCCTCATTTTTTGGCTGGCATTTGTTCCATCATCCCTCATTTTTTGGCTGGCATTTGTTCCATTTCCTTGCTAAAATTCTTCTCTCTCTTATCCAGGCATTTGAATTATATTATATAACTACATAACAGAATAGTGGAATAAGATTCTTAACATCCAATATGCATCAACTGCTAAACTACAGTTCTTAGGATAAACAGCTCATTCAGGTTGGTCCCAAGATCAGACAACATGCTTTGTGGGTTCCTTGGCTAGAGGATATATTAGGGATGTCTAGACTGAAGGTTTAATCATGTACTAGTCTTTTATCTACATGAGTTTGTCGTTGGCCATTTTAATACCCCCGTCTTCTTATTCTCTCCTGGAATTTGGAAAAGGTGGCATCCAGTTGTCCTTTTTCTGTTTCAAGATTTCTAAGAAAAAATTTGTTTGTTTTGCTGAATAAAAATGCCATTAAATTTTAGGAGGAGTTATGGTGGGGGATTTTCCTTTGAACATTCAATTCTTTCCATTTAATCATTGTATTGTCAAAAAAAAAAGTACCCAAGGTAACTTTCATTAAAAGAAAACAGGGGAGAGGGTGTACATGAGATGTACAAACCAATAGATAGCAAAAAGACAAAAATAACAATCCTATCAAAAAGTTAGCACTGCACAAACAATCCCTGCTCACACCATATCTAGCCACAAAAAAAAAAATAGAAGTTTGATTTAAAACCCCAGGAATCCATCTGTAGTTACAATGAAGAGGACAAGACAGCTCATGAATTTCAGATAGGAGATAAGCAAGCCTCAAAGGAGTAAGGACCAGTCCCACCAGATGAAGCTTTAAAATAACCTTGTGATTGACTAAGTTGACTAGTTGCTAATCAACTATTTGACCTAATAATACAGGAGCTGAAGAATCAAATTTGGAATTTTTTGAAATTTAATGTATTTCTGAATTTGGACAGTATGGGTATTTTTTGTCATTTTGCCCAGTCCCATGTGGGCCTTGGCTATAACATCTTGTTCCTCTAGTTTAGTAGGGCTTATCTATCAGTTTTCAGTTTATTTGCATTAGTGGATAAAAAGTTATTGTGTTTCTTGATGCACAAGACAAGGGGTGGCATTTTTGTACTTATGATGAACAATATTCCGAACCACACAAGCCCCTTTATAAATAGATATATTCTCTTCCTATTGAAGCTAATGAAGATTTCTTTAGAGCTCACTTGCAAGTTTGCTATATGGAGTGATTCTAGGACCCTTAGAGTGATTCCTTGGGATCTCTCTCTCTCTCTCTCTCTCTCTCTCTCTCTCTCTCTCTCTCACACACACACACACACACAAGGAGGGAGGGAGGGAGGGCCAGAATAAGATAATAAACTGACACAAGTTGGAGAGAGAGAGAGAGAGGGGGGGGGAGGTTGGCAAAGAGGGTAAGGTGGCTTTGCCAGCCTATTGTACAATAAAGGTTGCTTGGCAAACACATGTACTGCAATTTTTATCAAATATTTTTTTTGGTAATAGAAATAAAATTTATTAAAATGGGAAAAAAAAAAGAGTACAAAAGGGGAGTGACCTGAAGTCACCCAATAAAGAAGAAAAAAGACGACTCCAGCTCTCAAAACAAGAGATAAAACTAACCATGACTCAAACAATAACACCAAAACCATTTATCAAAAAAAAAAAAAAAGACACCAAACCCCAAAAGGCCAAAATGCCACTAAATTCACAAACCAGAACAACCAAAGACCAAGCAACTCAAAAAATTTCAACCTCAAAGACAGCACAAGCAAATCACTTCAAACCCACGAGAAAGCAACAACCCAAGGTTCAAAGTATCAATACGTATGGGCCAATACGTATCATGCCGATGGCTTCCCGATACACCCCTCCAGGGGTTGTATCCGATCAGCCACTGGTTCAGAGGGTAGCTGGGCCTTAAACCAACCCCTCTGAACCGGTTTTGAAAAAAAATAAGTAAAACCTAAAAAAGTACCGATACAGGCCGATACGCCCTACCAGAGTATTGGCCTGTGTCGATACTTTGAACCATGCAACAACCTCCCTCAAAAACCAGCACCAAAACCACCCACAAGCACTACATCCTCTAAATCATTGTCTAGCGGTTTTCTTGGTCTTCAAAATCTTCTTGCTTGGTTTAATCCCAAAGCATAGTTGTCAAGGCGACGCCTAGGCGGGCGCCTAGGCAACAAGGCGCCCAGGCAACAAGGCGCCCTTTAAGGCTCACCTTGCCTAATCGCCAAGCAGTTTTGTACTATGTATTGTAAAATACTTTTTTATTCTTTATTTTTTTACATTATAATTATAAAAAAGGCACTATTAAACTAAAATATTCATTTTGTGTGTTTATATATTAATTTCTTATTTGTTAGGATTTAACCAATACAAATATTGCTAAATGCTGTATTAAACCCTCAAAGACTTTAATTAGAATTTTGTCTAATCAACACATTTTCTACTACTACTATTATTTTCTTAAAATTTTTCTTTTCTTCTTTTCCTATAATAAAAATAAGGGTTCAGCCCCTAATTTTCTTTTCCTTCTTTTTTTCTCTGTTCATGAATATGCTGATTTTCTATACTTAAACATGAACTCTGTACTTTTCTTATGAAAATTATGAATAATTATTAAGGAAATATGGCTATGGTACCTAGGGAACTACCCTAGGATCTATGTTTTCTATTTAAAAAATTCCATCGCCTAGGCGACGCTTAGGCGCCCACCTAATGCCCAGCCTCGCCTTGGCGCCTTGAAAACTATGTCCCAAAGAGGCCTCCTTTTAGTCTAGCAAAGCCTTTTGAAACCAGAACATCTCATTGTTTCATTGTTTCTCTGTTTTTTAAATCTTTTATGTGCTAAAACATTATTCCAGAATTCCAACGAGCAAAGAGGGGTTCTCATTAATCCTTTCCAGCTCCAGCACTGTATATTTGTCAAATAACTGGGTATCTGCCAAAGCTTCAGTCTTTTCACTAACATACTCTTCCAGACTAGTTGTAGCTAAATTATTGTAGCCTTCAATTTTTTTTGATCAATAACTCTGAAAATTTTCATTAATTAAGAAGCTTTAATATACAACAAGAAGTTACAAAGAAATCAGCATAGAAGCTGACCCAATACAGAATTACAAAAGTGCCCAAAACATATCTGTTCTTTGAACCCCTTGCTTTGCTAAGCTATCAGCCAAGCTGTTGGCCTATCTCCTAACCCAACCCACCTGAATAGACATATTTCTTGACATCCATTTGAACCTTCTGAAATCATTCTTCA